CCGGGGTTCAAGTTAGGATAGCTGGAGGGACCTTAGAAAGGTGTGTGATTACTAAGCTGGTCCTCAACTCTAATCAGGGCACCAGGTTGTATGTAAGATCGTGTCTGCCAGTGTGTGGTCGACCAGCTGGATTGGATTGGAGTGGATTCTCCATCTGGTGGTGGCCAGAGGTAGTGCGGGCTGTGAAAAGGTATCACGGCTGATCTTATATACGGTTTGAGATATTCCAGTGTAAATCCCTTTATTCCCCCTCTTTACCACCCTGTCACGGCCGCACGTGTGTGCCTCGGTTAGCTAGTCGCTGTGGGCTTGGTGTGTGGGGGACGCGTGACAGGGTGATCGTTTGACAAATCCTTGACACAGGGTGATGGCTACATCTTGGTCTCCCTCTCCTTCTCCCCAATGAGCCCCTATTTATATGGTGTGACCTGCAGCTTGTGGTAACCTCCCTGAAAAGAGCACGAAAAACTGACCCCCTGTGATAACCCTTCTTTCTCTGTCACCACCAGCTCAACAGGTCAGCCCAGGACAGCGCAATGACCCTACATTGTAACAAATGGTTGGTACACATAAATCCGGATGAAGTAACCCGTCCCAATCACAGAACATAATAGCAGAAACCTGCTTACAGGTGGATGCAGAAGCAGCCGCTGCATGGACACAGCCACATGTCAAAATGTACCATCCATGCAGAAACTGGTCCACGGATCCGAACGCACACTGTCTGTCACTGACTCCCTGGTGGACGTTTCCTCTGTGGGGTTTTTATTGGTCAGACCAATTCTAGATATATTTCATGTACACCTTTACTATATACATATAAAGGTTTGATTTCTTCCACAGCCCAATGTGCCCGTCCATCTATAACAAACATGGAGATTATCTCTGAATACAAGAAGTATTATAATAAGAGTGAAGAGATAACAGTACGGTGTATAGATGGATATTATCCGCCATCATCTACAATGACATGTGACAACCCCCGCACCTCCCGAGAGTGGACTCCTCCCACTGTTACCTGTATCGGTGAGTAAAAGAACGCAAAACACATCCATCATATACACAGTATGAGAACTACATTATGTATGATATATAAGAACAAATGTATGTATATATATATATACACACACTATATTGCCAAAGGTATCAGGCCAGCCCTCCAAATCATGTGATTCAGATGTTCCAATCCCCTCCATATCATGTGATTCAGGTGTTCCAATCCCCTCCATGGACACAGGTGTATACAATCAAGCCCCTAGGCATGCAGACGGCTTCTACAAACATTGGTGAAAGAATGGGTCGCTCTCAGGAGCTCAGTGACTCCAAGCGTGGTCCCATGATAGGTGGCCACCTGGGCAATAAGTCCATCCGTGAAATTTCCTGGCTACTAAATATTCCATGCTCAACTGTTAGTGGGATTATAACAAAGTGGAAGCGACTGGGAACAACAGCAACTCAGCCACCAAGTGGTAGGCCACGTCACATGACAGGGCGGGGTCAGCGCATGCTGAAGCGCACAGTGCGCAGAAGTCGCCAACTGTCTGCAGAGTCAATAGCTAAAGACCTCCAAACTTGGTGTGGCCTTCAGATGAGCCCAACAACAGTGCGTAGAGAGCTTCATGGAATGGGTTTCTGTGACGGGAGGGACTTTGGGTGGGGGGCCCATGGAACACAGCTCACTTTGGAGGTGTGGGGAGACCCCTGTCTAAGCTCCCCATATCCCTCTTATTAGGTGCCTGTTAGGGGTGCAGGGTAAAATGTCCTGATATTGTGTAGACATGTATAGGAGATAGGTGGGGTGGGGGTTGTGGATTGTTTGGTGTTATGTGGTTGCATCCCATTGTTCTATTGTGTGTCTTGCTTGGGAGCAAACTATTATGGGATGTATGTGTTTGTGTATTGGCTTGGTGGGGGGTGTCTGCTGATGTGTTTCTTGTTGCTAGATTTGGTTTGCCCCGCCCTGCGTCCTTATGCAGGGAGGGGGGTTGTTCCCTTGAATGTATATATCTTGTGTCCTGTGTTAAAATAAAGCAGTCTATTTCCTGGTTTCATTCAAGAGTGGTGTCTGTGGATCTGTGTTCGGACAGGGAAGCGGGAGTCTAACGGAAATACCCTAGTGCAGGCAGTCGGAGTCCGGTTTTGTTACAGTTTCCATGGCCGAGCAGCTGCATCCAAGCCTTACATCACCAAGTGCAATGCAATGGACATGACCAATCACGCTTCTCTGTCTGGCAATCGGACGGATGTGTCTGGGTTTGGTGATTGCCAGGAGAACAGTACTTCCCTGACTGCATTGTGCCAAGTGTAAAGTTTGGTGGAGGAGGGATTATGGTGTGGGGTTGTTTTACATGGGTTGGGCTTGGCCCCCTAGTTCCTGTGAAGGGAACTCTTAAGGCATCAGCATACCAAGACATGTTGGACAATTTCATGCTCCCAACTATGTGGGAAGAGTTTGGGGATGGCCCCTTCCTGTTCCAACATGACTGCACACCAGTGCACAAAGCAAGGTCCATAAAGACACGGAGGAGCCAGTTTGGGGTGGAGGAACTTGACTGGCCTGCACAGAGTCCTGACCTCAACCCCATAGAACACCTTTGGCATAATTTGGAGCGGAGACTGTGAGCCAGGCCTCCTCCCCCGACATCAGTGCCTGACCTGACAAATGTGCTTCTGGAAGAATGGTCCAACCTTCCCATAGACACCCTCCTAAACCTTGTGGACGGCCTTCCCAGAAGAGTTGAAGCTGTTATAGCTGCAAAGGGCGGGGCCAACTCAATATTGAACCCTACGGACTAAGACTGGGGGGGCCATTAAAGGTCATGTGTGTGGAAAGGGCGGGGCCAACTCAATATTGAACACTACGGACTAAGACTGGGAGGCCATTAAAGGTCATGTGCGTGGAAAGGCCAATACTTTTGGCAATATAGTGTATATATATATATTCTTGATAACATACAATGTAAGAATGTCAGTTGGACTCTCTCTTTGCCCCGTGGTGTTCCTGGTGGATTCTGCCTACAGTACTAAACTGAGCTAAACAGAGCGTGCTACAGCCGTGACATCACACCTCCACTGCGCACACATTGGTCTCTCCCCAGTAATATCCCACCCCCAGCACACTCATTGGTCTTCCCCAGTGAAATCCCACATCCAGCAAATACATTGGTGTTTTCTAGGCATTCATTCTGAATTGAAATTCGGATGAATTTTCTGTTATACAGAGATTTGGATGTATCTGAATTCCGAATTAAAATAGTAACAAATTTATATGAAATTCAGCTGAAATTTGAATCAATTCGAAAACAAGGTCAAATTCTAAAACAAATTTGAATTAGAAAAAAATTTTTAAAACACATTTGAATTTGAAAACAAGAATAAAATAAAATAGATTAGAAACAAAAAATCGAATATAATAGAAAGGAGCAGAGGAAAAAATAACAGAATAGAAAATAAAAGAATAAAAAAGAATGGACTAAATTAGAATAGAAAAGATTAGAATAGAAAATCAAAAGTAGAAAAGAATAGAAAAACAAAACAATAGAATAAAATAGAAAGAAAATAACTATCTTCCAAATTTCAAATAAAATGAATTGGAATAAAATACATTAGAATAAAATAATGGAATAGAAAAGAATAAAAAATAAATTAATAGTAAAGAAGAGAGTAAAAGAGAACAAAATAGAATAAAAAATAAAAAATAGAATTTATTTTATTTATTTATTATTTCAGATACTTATACAGCGCCGTCAATTTACACAGCACTTTATATATATATTGTAAATTCACATCAGTCCCCGCCCCCAAGGAGCATACAATCTAAGGCCCCTAACTCACATTCATACATACACATACTAGGGCCAATTTAGACAGGAGCCAATTAACCTACCAGCATGTTCTTGGAGTGTGGGAGGAAACCGGAGAACCTGGAGGAAACCCAGGTACAGGGAGAACATGCAAACTCCGGGCAGGTGGTGCTGTGGTTGGGATTCGAACCAATGACCCGAGTACTGACAAGCAGAAGTGCTAACCATTTAACCACTGTGCTGCCCACAGAATAAACTATGATATAAAATAAAAATAGAATAAAATAAAATAAAAAAAGTATAGCTGTCTTCCCAAAATTCAAATAGATCACATTAGAATAGAATATAAAATAATAAAATAGAAGAAAATAGAAAATAAAAGAACAGAATAAAAAAAAGAGTAAAACAGAATAAAATATAATAAAAAATAAAGGAATAGAATATGAAAGATTAGAATAGAAAAGAATAGAATAGAACAGAGTAAAACAGACAAAATAGAATAGAAAATAAAGGAATAGAATAGAGTGGAAAAGAATCAATAAGAGCAGAAAAGAAAATATTAGAATAGAAAAATCAAAGAATTGAATAGAAAAACAATAGAATAAAATAGCATAGAACTATTTTCTACAATTCAAATTGCATACACACGGCTCAAAAAACTGAAAGGAAGACTCTGAAAACCCATCAGATCCCAATGAGGAGGAATCTCCTGCTGGATCTCTATACTGACATGGACGGGGGATGGGTGAGGAATGTAAGGATGGCCCATTGTTTTATGGAAATGATCGACCTACAGAGGACTGAATTCACAGACACCCCAAAAATCAAAGTGAGGAAATGATGCAGCAGGAGAGTCCATGTTGGTGAAATGTCATTGCAGCAACTCAGAATGGCCCTCAGTAGTCTGTGTGGCCCCCACATGCTTGTATGCATGCCTGACAACATCGGGGGAGAGTCCTAATGAGAACACGGATGGTGTCCTGGGGGATTTCCTCCCAGATCTGGACCAGGGCATCACTGAGCTCCTGGACAGTCTGAGGTTCCACCTGGCGGCGTCGGATGGACCGAAACATGACATCCCAGAGGGGTTCTATTGGATTTAGGTTAGTAGAGCGTGGGGGCCATTTATTGCTATCAATTCCTTCATCCTCCAGGAACTGCCGACATACACTCCACACATGAGGCCGGGCATTGTCTGCACCAGGAGGAACCCAGGACCCACTGCACCAGGAGGAACCCAGGAACCACCGCACCAGGAGGAACCCGGACCCACCGCACCAGGAGGAACCCGGACCCACCGCACCAGGAGGAACCCGGGACCCTCCGCAACAGGAGGAACCCAGGAACCACCGCACCAGGAGGAACCCGGACCCACCGCACCAGGAGGAACCCGGACCCACCGCACCAGGAGGAACCTGGGACCCTCCGCACCAGGAGGAACCCGGGACCCACCGCACCAGGAGAAACCCGGGAACCACTGCACCAGGAGGAACCCAGGACCCACTGCACCAGGGTAAACCCAGGACCCATTGCACACGGAGGAACCCAGGACCCACTGCACTAGGAGAAACCCAGGGCCCACTGCACCAGGAGGAACCAAGGACACCCTACACCAGGAGGAACCCAGGACCCACTGCACCAGCATAGGGTCTGACAATGGGTGCAAGGATTTCATCCCGATACCTAATGGTAGTCAGGGTGCCATTGTCTAGCCTGTAGAGGTCTGTGCATCCCTCCATGGAGATGCCTCCACAGACCATCACTGACCCACCACCAAAACGGTCATACTGAACCATGTTACAGGCAGCAGAACGTTCTCCACGGCTTCTCCAGACCTTTTCACGTCTGTCACATGTGCTCAGGGTGAACCTGCTCTCATCTGTGAAAAGCACAGGGGCCAGTGGTGGACCTGACAATTCTGGTGTTCAATGGCAAATGCCAATCCAGCTCTATGGTGCCGGGCAGTGAGCACAGGGCCCACTAGAGGATGTCGGGCCCTCAGGCCACCCTCATGGAGTCTGTTTCTGATTGTTTGGTCAGAGACATTCCCACCAGTGGCCTGCTGGAGGACATTTTGTAGGGCTCTGGCAGGGCTCATCCTGTTCCTCCTTGTACAAAGGAGCAGATACCGGTCCTGCTGATGGGTTAAGAACCTTCTACGGCCCTGTCCAGCTCTCCTAGAGGAACTGCCTGTCTCCTGGAATCTCCTCCATGCTCTTGAGACCTTCTGGCAATGGCACGTATTGATGTGCCATCCTGGAGGAGTTGGACTGCCTGTGAACCTCTGTAGGGCCCAGGTATGGCCTCATGCTATCAGTAGTGACACTGACCCGAGCCAAATGCAAAACTAGTGGAAAACCATCAGAAAAGATGAGGAAGGAAAAAACTGTCAGTGGTCTCCACCTGTAAAACCATTCCTGTTTTGGGGGTTGTCTCATTGTTGCCCATCTAGTGCACCTGTTGTTATTTATATTTCCATCAAAGCAGCTGAAACAGAGGAACAACCCCCTCTGCTACTTACCTGACCAGATCCATATCCCAGGAGTGTCATGGGCTCAATGCGACTTGGATTACAAAGTCTTCCTTTCATTTTTTTGAGCCGTGTATTTATATCCTCTCCCAGCCAAGGTCATTCATCCCTACTGATCACCCTACAGATACATACATTGTCGGGTCATTCATCCCTACTGATCCTCCTACAGATACATACATTGTCAGGTCATTCATCTCTACTGATCCTCCTACAGATACGTACATTGTCGGGTCATTCATCCCTACTGATCACCCTACAGATACATACATTGTCAGGTCATTCATCCCTACTGATCCTCCTACAGATACGTACATTGTCGGGTCATTCATCCCTACTGATCACCCTACAGATACATACATTGTCGGGTCATTCATCCCTACTGATCACCCTACAGATACATACATTGTCAGGTCATTCATCCCTACTGATCCTCCTACAGATACGTACATTGTCGGGTCATTCATCCCTACTGATCACCCTACAGATACATACATTGTCAGGTCATTCATCATCCCTACTGATCCTCCTACAGATACATACATTGTCAGGTCATTCATCCCTACTGATCACCCTACAGATACGTACATTGTCGGGTCATTCATCCCTACTGATCCTTCTACAGATACATAAATTGTCAGGTCATTCATCCCTACTGATCACCCTACAGATACATACATTGTCAGGTCATTCATCCCTACTGATCACCCTACAGATACGTACATTGTCAGGTCATTCATCCCTACTGATCACCCTACAGATACGTACATTGTCAGGTCTTTCATCCCTACTGATCACCCTAAAGATACGTACATTGTCGGGTCATTCATCCCTACTGATCACCCTACAGATACATACATTGTCAGGTCATTCATCCCTACTGATCCTCCTACAGATACGTACATTGTCAGGTCATTCATCCCTACTGATCACCCTACAGATACATACATTGTCGGGTCATTCATCCCTACTGATCACCCTACAGATACATACATTGTCAGGTCTTTCATCCCTACTGATCACCCTAAAGATACGTACATTGTCAGGTCATTCATCCCTACTGATCACCCTACAGATACGTACATTGTCGGGTCATTCATCCCTACTGATCACCCTACAGATACATACATTGTCGGGTCATTCATCCCTACTGATCACCCTACAGATACATACATTGTCGGGTCATTCATCCCTACTGATCACCCTACAGATACATACATTGTCGGGTCATTCATCCCTACTGATCCTCCTACAGATACATACATTGTCAGGTCATTCATCCCTACTGATCCTCCTACAGATACATACATTGTCGGGTCATTCATCCCTACTGATCACCCTACAGATACATACATTGTCAGGTCATTCATCCCTACTGATCCTCCTACAGATACATACATTGTCAGGTCATTCATCCCTACTGATCCTCCTACAGATACATACATTGTCGGGTCATTCATCCCTACTGATCACCCTACAGATACATACATTGTCGGGTCATTCATCCCTACTGATCACCCTACAGATACATACATTGTCAGGTCATTCATCCCTACTGATCCTCCTACAGATACGTACATTGTCGGGTCATTCATCCCTACTGATCACCCTACAGATACGTACATTGTCAGGTCATTCATCCCTACTGATCCCCTACAGATACATACATTTGTCAGGTCATTCATCCCTACTGATCACCCTACAGATACGTACATTGTCAGGTCATTCATCCCTACTGATCACCCTACAGATACGTACATTGTCAGGTCATTCATCCCTACTGATCACCCTAAAGATACATACATTGTCAGGTCATTCATCCCTACTGATCCTCCTACAGATACGTACATTGTCAGGTCATTCATCCCTACTGATCACCCTACAGATACATACATTGTCGGGTCATTCATCCCTACTGATCACCCTACAGATACATACATTGTCAGGTCATTCATCCCTACTGATCACCCTAAAGATACGTACATTGTCGGGTCATTCATCCCTACTGATCACCCTACAGATACATACATTGTCGGGTCATTCATCCCTACTGATCACCCTACAGATACATACATTGTCAGGGTCATTCATCCCTACTGATCCTCCTACAGATACATACATTGTCATTGTCAGGTCATTCATCCCTACTGATCCTCCTACAGATACATACATTGTCGGGTCATTCATCCCTACTGATCACCCTACAGATACGTACATTGTCGGGTCATTCATCCCTACTGATCACCCTACAGATACGTACATTGTCGGGTCATTCATCCCTACTGATCCTCCTACAGATACGTACATTGTCGGGTCATTCATCCCTACTGATCACCCTACAGATACGTACATTGTCGGGTCATTCATCCCCCTACTGATCACCCTACAGATACGTACATTGTCAGGTCATTCATCCCTACTGATCACCCTACAGATACATACATTGTCAGGTCATTCATCCCTACTGATCACCCTACAGATACATACATTGTCGGGTCATTCATCCCTACTGATCACCCTACAGATACATACATTGTCGGGTCATTCATCCCTACTGATCCCCTACAGATACATACATTGTCGGGTCATTCATCCCTACTGATCCTCCTACAGATACATACATTGTCGGGTCATTCATCCCTACTGATCCTCCTACAGATACATACATTGTCGGGTCATTCATCCCTACTGATCACCTTACAGATACATACATTGTCGGGTCATTCATCCCTACTGATCACCCTACAGATACGTACATTGTCGGGTCATTCATCCCTACTGATCACCCTACAGATACGTACATTGTCAGGTCATTCATCCCTACTGATCCTCCTACAGATACGTACATTGTCGGGTCATTCATCCCTACTGATCCTCCTACAGATACGTACATTGTCGGGTCATTCATCCCTACTGATCACCCTACAGATACGTACATTGTCGGGTCATTCATCCCTACTGATCACCCTACAGATACATACATTGTCGGGTCATTCATCCCTACTGATCACCCTACAGATACATACATTGTCGGGTCATTCATCCCCCTACTGATCACCCTACAGATACGTACATTGTCAGGTCATTCATCCCTACTGATCCTCCTACAGATACATACATTGTCGGTCATTCATCCCTACTGATCCTCCTACAGATACATACATTGTCGGGTCATTCATCCCTACTGATCCCCTACAGATACGTACATTGTCGGTCATTCATTCATCCCTACTGATCCTCCTACAGATACGTACATTGTCGGGTCATTCATCCCTACTGATCACCCTACAGATACGTACATTGTCAGGTCATTCATCCCTACTGATCACCCTACAGATACATACATTGTCAGGTCATTCATCCCTACTGATCACCCTACAGATACATACATTGTCGGGTCATTCATCCCTACTGATCACCCTACAGATACATACATTGTCGGGTCATTCATCCCTACTGATCCTCCTACAGATACATACATTGTCAGGGTCATTCATCCCTACTGATCCTCCTACAGATACATACATTGTCGGGTCATTCATCCCTACTGATCACCCTACAGATACATACATTGTCGGGTCATTCATCCCTACTGATCACCCTACAGATACGTACATTGTCGGGTCATTCATCCCTACTGATCACCCTACAGATACGTACATTGTCAGGTCATTCATCCCTACTGATCCTCCTACAGATACATACATTGTCGGGTCATTCATCCCTACTGATCCTCCTACAGATACATACATTGTCGGGTCATTCATCCCTACTGATCACCCTACAGATACGTACATTGTCGGGTCATTCATCCCTACTGATCCTCCTACAGATACGTACATTGTCGGGTCATTCATCCCTACTGATCACCCTACAGATACGTACATTGTCGGGTCATTCATCCCTACTGATCACCCTACAGATACATACATTGTCAGGTCATTCATCCCTACTGATCACCCTACAGATACATACATTGTCAGGTCATTCATCCCTACTGATCACCCTACAGATACATACATTGTCAGGTCATTCATCCCTACTGATCACCCTACAGATACGTCGGGTCATTCATCCCTACTGATCACCCTACAGATACATACATTGTCAGGTCATTCATCCCT